GAATCAAGAGAAGAGAAGGGAAAGATGGGGAGATGCGTCAGGGACAGGTGATCACTCTTTCCAGACACCTGGAAAAGGAGGGAGGGAGAGGGAGGAACACAAAGTAAAGAGGGCTTCCGTTTGTAAGGCGAGAGAGACCAGATCGAAATCACGTCCACGAGAGGAGGATCCAGGAAGAGGTGAGAAGACAGACCGTCCCTGAGGAGGCAGGAGAAGATGGTGTCCGCAGCCTGAGAGAAGAGCGAGCTTGGGCGGGAGGCACAGGGAGGACGGTGAGGACAGAAGCGGGATGGATGGGGCTGCAGCCAAGTCGGGAGGTGGGAGCCTGGAAGGCCAGAGCTGCTGACTGCTGCCGACCTGGATCTTCCCTGGGGAGCGGGGTGTGAGACTTCTGCTTAGAACAGGGGTGGAGGAGGGGGCGTCGCGCAGAACTGCAGACCATGTGGGTAGGTTCTGAGAGGAGCAATGGCCAGGGACAGGACATAGGCTGGCGAGCAGCATCCAGATGCTGGTAAGGTGCTGGGGCATCTGGATGGCTCAGGGTTGAGCATCTGCCTTCAGCTCAGGGCGTGATCCTAGGGTTCTGGATCGAGTCCCCCATCGGGCTCCCTGCAGGAAGCCTGCTTCTCCCTTTGCCTGTGTCTCTGCCTCTCTCTGTGTCTCTCATGAATAAATAAAATCTTCAACAAGGCCTCACATACAGGGACCTGGTGGCCCTGTGTGTCCTGGGGACTCCCCGGGCTGTTAGCCCACCCCTGCTGTCTCTCTCAGGAGGCCTCAAGTCTCCTTCCTCTGGGCCTAGCCTCTGATTCCTGTTTTAGGTCACCTTCTGGGTCAGACCCTACAGCATAGACAGACGATCCTTCATTGCCTAGTGCAACTGGGCTGTTCTAACAGCACCACCACCAATTACAATAGTAATCATAAAATAATAAACAGCATTAGTCATTGCCACCGACAGCACTTACCACGCCAGGTGCTTGTATATTGCACGTGCTTTAATTTTTAAAACAACCCCGAATGATGTGTAAAACGAACGAGACTAAATCTAAGGGGCCTGGGTAATTTGCCCAAGGTAACTCAGCCAGCAAGTGACTGCCTCCATTTAAACCCAAGTCCAGGGACGCCCAGGTGGCTCAGCGGTTAAGCATCTGCCTTTGGCTCAGGGTGTGATCCCAGAGTCTGGGAATCGAGTCCCACATCGGGCTTCCAGCATGGAGCCTGCTTCTCCCTCTGCCTATGTCTCGATCTCTCTCCCTCTGTCTTTCTCATGAATAAATAAATAAAATCTTTAAAAATATAAACCCAAGTCCACATGATTCCAAGGCCTGATCTGCTTTCCCCTTCCCAAAGTTGGGGCCCAGTGCGCTCGTGCTTGAATGCGGAGTCCCGGCGGCCTTATGCCCCTCCCTCCTTCCCGAAGGCCTTGAGTTACCACTGGAAGGTCAGGCCTGTGTCAAGGTTGTCCAGGGGCTGCCCACCGCAGCCCGTCTTCTCCTGTCCCCCAGCCCAGGCCACATCTCAGGGCCTCGTAGAACTGACAGCTAGTCAGGGGCCCTGCAGCGAGGCCAGCCTCCCAGTTTCCATAGTGAGGACGAGGTGGGAGGAGGAGGAGGAGGAGGAGGTAGCTAAGAGGTCTAGGAAGACTGCTCCCTTCCGGGTTACCAGGCATCCTGGGGCATGGGGAGGGGAGGCTGGCAGAGGTGGGAGGAACGGGGCCTGAGTGGCTGCACGGGAAGCCCTGTCTCTCACGTGTCCCGTCCTCTCCAGGATGGAGCGTCTTCAGCCTTCAGCAAACACCAGGAGGAGGATGCTCAGCCACAGCACCTACCACACTGCATTATAGCTCTAGTTTCGGGACCATCACTGCCACTAGACTGTGAGACACTTGGGGACAGGAACGAGTCAAGAGCAGCACAGTGCCAGCACCTGGGACACCTCACTGACGCCTGGCAAATGAGTGCGTGTGTGGCGATATGAAGCGGGATGTGCCTCCGAGGATTCCACGAGAACTGGAGGCTGCCCTGGCCCACCGTGGACTTCCAAACACCTCCACCCCCAACCCTGGCAGTCCACTGGTGCTCCTCTGAGCTGCCCCCAGCACACATGGCCTGCTGGGAACTCCCCCAAGCTTGCTGCCTAGCACAGGGCTCCTGGGGGCTGGGAGACAACGAGCCTTTGAGTAACTTGTTTGGAGTTATCTGTGCAACTGTCCAGTGATTGGGGAACCAAATGGCCACAAATGGTGACAAGAGCCTCCATATGGATGAAGAAAGTATGGCTGGCTTTAGCACCAGCTGTCGTTTGGGTTGTTCAGTCTTCCTTTCCCATCTTTTCCCTTTCCAGATTCCATCAAGGCTCGTGGGTACCAGAAAGTTACACCCAGTGGGCAACTGTTCACATAGCCAGTGGCAGGTGGCAGCCGTGAGTGAGGCCTAGTACCCTTTCCAGCCCTGCCCAGCCAGGCCTTGGCTCCCAAATACAGAGCTGCCTCCTGCCTGCTGGAATTCTACAGGTGAGCCTCTGGGCAGGTACGGAGAGCTCCCCAGCAGCCAAGAGGCTGCATGGTTGGAAACATCACTGTAGGAGCAGGACCAGCCTGTGGTTGGCACCAGAGAGGAAGGGCTTTCCCCACATTTACCTGGGTCTCAGATGCCAGAGAAGTGAAACAGAGCATCAGCCCTGGTCTTGGGGTAGGGAAGGGTTCTAAAGGAGAGGCTTCCTGGGTCACCAGAGATGGCTACGGTTGGGGAGGCGTTGCTGGCTCTCCTCCGGCAGCTCACTCTAAAGGCCTGAGCTATCTCTGACTTGGGGGCCAGGGAAGGCTTGTGGAACTTCAAAGGAGTCCTCTCTGTCCCCTCTCTCTCCTCACTCACCCCTACGAACCCTGGGAATGAGTTCTCCCTAACACAAGGCTGGTCCTACAACCCTGGACATGGCCAGACCGAGACACAGACATCCACACGCGTGAGCATGTGCCCGAGCACAGCCCACACTTCCTCATCCCAACGGCTCCGGTACCTTCGGTCAGCCTGCAGCCAAGGCCAGGCCAGGTGGGAGTGCCTTGGAGTCTTCCTGGGAATAGTGAGGTCCTGCTGTCTGCTTCCTGAATGGCTGGCGCACAGTGAGTCTCCTGACGCTACCTGGCTGTCCTCCTTTTTTGCCTTCTTTCCTGATTTCCTTGGATGCACTCTAAGAGCCTTGAGTGAACTGACCTTGGTGTTCTTGGAAGGAACCTATGATGACAACCACCTGACTGTCCTGACCCACCCCCTTGGCCTGCCTGTTCGATCCCAGTCTGCTCAGCAGGAAGCAGGATCTGGTGTTTGAACCAAGTCCAGATCATTTATGATGACTGGGCATTGAGGGGTTTAAAAAAAAGCCAATGGGAGCAGGGCCCTGCCTTCCAGAAGCTCCTCTGACAAGGTGTCTGTGTGCAGAGGAGAGGACGTGCCAGGAGGGGACGGGCAGGTGGGCAAGAGGCCAGGGGGAGGAAACAGCCCTCAGGCTCCCCAGAGGTCTCCAAGGCAGATCCAATTCCCTCCCCTTTGCCCTGAGAAGTGTCTACCTGTGGTCCCAGTTCCGTTGCCTTCAAGGCAAAGAGAAGGACCCTGAGGACACTAGTATTCAGGCCGTGGTTCTAAAAACAGAGGGGTGTTCCCCCAGCCCCCATTCTTTCCCTGGTTTGCACGGGCAGTGGGCCTTCTTGCAACTGGAGCTGGCCAAAGCCAACCCCTTTCCTCCCCTGTGGGGAGCCAGGCTGGGCCTGGTGGAGCCTGGCTGCCGCGTTCAGCTTGGCTCTGGGTGGGTTCCCCTTCCCCACTGTCCCACCTACCTGCACTTCTGGACCTGCCTTCTGTCTTCTCTCTCGCTTGCTACCTACGTGACACTGCCTGCACTTGGCATTTCTTGGGAAAGGGCTGTGGATTTAAACCAAATTGCACTGAGACCCCCACAGGCAGGTTAAGCTGCTCCCACCCCCAAACTCGCCTCGAAACCTCCAGAAAGAACAATTAGCTTCTCACTGTCGCCAGAGGCTGTCTGTCATCATTCTCCTCCAGTAGGAGGCTTGGGTATTGGAAGAAGAATGGCCTGAACTCTGCAGGACCCCTCCCCTGGGGTGGCTGGTGACAGCTGGTGGAGGGGAGAGGGGGATGGGCCCAGACAGATTGGCAGGTATCCCTGCGGGGGCCCAGAGCTGAGAAGAAGAGAACAGGAGGGGACTCAGTGGGTGGTCTACCAAGGAGCAGTCACCTAGGTCACTTAGCCACACAACGTCCCTAGAGAAACAGGCCCAGGCCCTTGCCCGCCTAGAACAAGGAGTACAGAATCTGATCATTCCTGGAGTGGAACCCCTTCTCGGTGGCAGCTGGGGATCCCGCGGCAGGTCAGCGGTAAAATTATAAAAGTAGGGGAGAGGCTAGGATTTATGGGCTGGGGAATGGGACCCCTCAAGCTCAGAGAGGTCTGCTATCCCTGTGGGATGGGCCAGGGTCCAGATAAGGCCTTCCTCCCCAGGGCTGGGAATAAGGGTGGACCCACATTTGAGTCAGAGAGTCTTCACAGAGGGTAAGGGGCTCAGAGTGGGGGGCACTACAAGGTCAGGGCAGGGGAGGAGGAAGAGTAGGAGTGAAGCTGGGGCTAGCCAGATAAAAGCGGTCCTTCCAGGGGGACCTGAGGCCAGGGAAGGGCCTGCAGGGGCTGCTGGGGAGACACCCATGGTCTGGCTAGGGAAGGCTGAAAGAGAACTTGCACTCTGGGCATCCGGGCAGGTGGCAGGTATCAGGCTTAGCAGCTCCCGGAGTCCACACCAGTGCCCCCTGGCATCCCCTGGCCTCTCTGTCCCTTGGTCTGAGTTTGGGTATCTTTCAGCTTTGGGTCATTAATGCTTCTTTTGAAAGGTTCCTACTGGTTCTTTGTGGGGTTCAGGGGAAGGGGCTGACCTGGAAGCCAGGCAAGGACAGGGCAAGAGGGGAAGGAGCTGTGCATGGGGAGCTCACCACTCTCTCCTTGTAGACGATGTACTTCAACCACTTGAAGTCCTGCCACTTGAAGCCAGCGAGGACAAATAGAGAATCGCGTTCATATTGCTCGGGCCGCTGCATGGCGCCCTCAGGGTAGGTGATGCGCAGTGTAGTTTTGCTGCCCACGTCCTTCTCAAAGCCTTTCACTGGTGCGGAGTTCAGTCTACAGAGAGCAGGCCCAGTCAGAGCCTGCCCTGCGCTCACTGCGTGTAGTCTGTGGGCTTGTGTTTGGGGAGCCACTCTGACCCTAGAATCCCCCAGGTGCAGAGAATAGGGAGCCAGGTCACCTGAAGCCACCAGGTCACCTGGAGCCACCTAGCTTTCTAGAGCCCTCCGACCAGGGTTCTTCTCTAGGCTTCTGCTGACCTCCAGTCCGACTAGCCAGATGGACAGACAGTTCTCAGTGGACTCAGGGACGAGGGTTCGGGCCAGGACTCTCAGGTGCCTGAGGCACTGCTGTTTGGGGAGCTCACCTGACCACAATGTCATAGTCATCAATTCGTGACCCCAGAGACTTGTTGGCTAGGACACCTCCGTTGCCCACGATGATGCAGCGGCGGCAGCTGAGGCTGAGGGGAGAGAGGCAGAGACCTCTGGAGAGCTGTCCGCCAGGGCTCCTTCTCCCTACCCCTTGGGCCCATGACCTCATGCCTTTGGCCAGATGCAGACTGGGATGGGGGAAGACCAATGGGCTTCAGGCAGCATTCTGAGGCCAAAGCCATACTGTGGGTAGCTGGGCCACTTGGGACTCTCGGACAGCCCTAGTCCCAGAGATTCTCCAGGAAAGTGTGGCTGTGGAAGGGGCAAGGATGTTAGTTCTGGGGTGGTGAGGAAGGGGTCAGAGGACGGCATTCTAGGCTCAAGGCTCCCCAAGGGTTAGTGGAGTTCAAGAAAGAGGGCAAAGTGGGCTGATTTGAAGGCCAGAGAGGGAAGCAGAGGACAGGTCTGGAGGGTCCAGGACCCAAGGGTGGGCTTATATTCAGCTCAGAAGCCCCCAGGCTCCCATTAGCCACCAGAGAGCCCTACTTATTTTGCTTCTCCCACCTGGGGCTTCCCACACCCAGGAGCCATGGGCTCCTCAGCTGTCACCGCCTCCTGCATGTAAGCCCTGCCCCCTCAGCTGCCTCCTCCACCCTGTCCTTCAGCCCCACGGCTGGGCTGATCTCAGCCCAGTGTCTGGCCTGCCCTTCTTACCCTCAGACCTGGGCTGACTGAGGACTGAAACACCTTGCCAAGTGCTGATGGTTCCAGGGGGTGCAGGCCAGCACCAGATGGCCCCACTGATCTGCTCACCACCCCAGCATGTGTGCTGTGTGTGCATGTCTGTGGACATGCTGGAGAATGTGCTCGTGTCCACGCTAAGCTGGCAGGACCTCGGCACCTCTGTGCATGCCAGGCAGCTGAGGGCGGGAGGGTGGGTAGGGAGCGGCTCACCTGTCCAAGGCAGGGGTCAGGCGGTACTCTTTGGTGACTGACAAGATGGCTTTGATCAGATTGTCTGTGGACAGAGGAGGGAGGTTACTGTCAGAGGGTCACGGGCATCCCCATGAAGTGTTTGCGGATGACGTTCAGGAGGCACATGCTCCCATGTAGGGTGGAGGTGGAGGTGAAGGTGGGGAGAGGGAGCTCTGGCACAAGGTTGGGCTGGGCCACTGGCCCAGCTGTCTCCCTGAGGAACGAGATGCAGGCAGGGGAACGGGCAGGTGCACTCGGCTCTGCCCGGAACCAGTCTCCAGCATGGACGTGCGCTTTCTCCCCCAGGGCTCCCCAGCCCTTCCTGGGATGCCTCCTCCGGCTTCCCGAGGCTTGTGGTCAGGCCCCAGGATATGGATCCCCGGCCTGGGACCTGCTCAGGGACAGAGACCATGCTCGGCTCGCCTCCGTGCCCCCAGTGAGGAGACACCAGAGAGCGAGTGAGGAGGCCAGCAATGATGAAGAGCTCAAGTGGGCCCACCAGCTCCCGAGTCAGACCCCTTTGCCACTTTCTGATGCCGGCTTCCCCTCACTTCCCCCTCTAGCACTGCCCATCTTCAATCTTGGCCTTGCCCATCTGTCTCTGCCTCCTTCGCTCTCCAACCCGAGGCCTGGGATCTGCCCACCTGCACTCCACTCAGGCAGCCCTCAGCAAGGGCCCAGGACCTCTGTGTTCTCAGATCCTGTGACCACTAGCCAGACCTCCTACTTCTTGGCCTCAGGCTTTGCCTATGGTGACTTACTCTTCTTTCAAACTCAGGCATAAGGAGAACATTGTAATATAACGTGTAAAGATACTGGCTTTGGAGTCAAATCCTAGCTGTGCTACCTCAGAGCTCTGTGACCTTAGATAAATCATGTACTTTCTTTGAGTTTTAGTTCCCCATCTTTCAAGTGAAGATGGTAATTCCTATTCTGGCAGAGTCATTGGGAAGATAAAAAGATAATATACGTAGAGATCTGGAGGTAAAAGTAAGTAAATCAGTGCAACCATAGTGGAGAGCATCTTAGTAACACTGAGCAGAGATGTGGATGTGCACAGACTAAGATCTTGCAAGTCTCCTCCTAGGCAGATAGCATCTGAATGTTCCCACATTTGTTTAAGGAAATTTGTGCAAGAAGGTTCACTGTGGAGCTGTTCATAATAGCAAAATGCTGGAGGCAAGCTAAATGTTCACCAAAGGAAGACAGATTAAATGTGGAACCCAGAGTACTATGCAGCAGTAAAAACAAATAAAAAAGTGACCTTGGGCCACATGTACTAATACAGATAATCCTGAAAAGCATAAGCAAAAAACATTAATTTGAAACACACACACATATACATATGTATACATATAATATTATTTGTAAAATGTAAAAACATGCAAAAACAATGCCTTATTTTCAATGGACATATAAATATGTCACAGACATAGATAAACAGGCTTTGGAATAGTAACCCCCCCAACCAGGCCAACGGTCTCCTGAGAAGGAGGGGCAGGGAACGGGAAAGGCCACACAGCTTTGATTATCTCCTGTTTTATTCCTTAAGCTGGGGACACAATACGTGGTTGCTCACGGTTTTCGTCTTCATTCTTTTTTATATGACTGAAATATTCTACATAAAGAAACACTGCCTCCCAACTTAAAAGTAACAACCCTGTGATTTTTTTTTACAAGATGGGTCCACAGACCCCCTCCTTTTCCCACCTCCCATTCACCTCTAACAAAAAAGCAATATTGCTACTAATTGGCCAAAGTCGAGGATATGGCTTGGGTTTTTATTTCCTAGGAGGGGGCTTTAGCAGAAAGAGTATGAATTAGTAAGTGCTCTCCTCTTGCTGGCCAATGGGCTGTGTACCAGCCTTCTCAGGCCTTTGTAGTTTAACAGGATCAGAGTGAGGATTTAGGAAAAGAGGCTGCTGAGACACCTGTGCCCAGTAAAAAGGAGTTCTACCCATTAGATTTGTCCTTGGGGATCAGAGATTGAAATTCCTGTTCTTGAGCGTCCTTTTGCTGGTCCTGTCTTCTTTTCAGGGAGGGGTGGACTGACTAAGTGGCAAATTCAGGTATGTTTGAGTCCCCTGGCCAAATGATATCACCCCTTCAACAGTGCTCTTATGTAAGTCTGGCCACAACCTAATACAATGGGATTATTTTCCCCCATGTAACTGATGAAGACACTAAAGCACAGGCAGGTTAAGGAACATGTCCAAGGTCACAGCTAGTAAAGAAGTAGTACTGAGATCTGATCCTTCAGTGTCTGACCATAAGGCCCAATCCCTACCATGCAGGAACTTGACAACAGAACTGTCAAACTGTCAGGGGCTAGAAAGTCTTCAGTCAGGAGGGAGCTGCATGGCCAAGGTCCCTAAGGCAATGGAAGGGGACAGTCCTGAGGGCACAAGGGACAGGCGAGCCTTGGACAGGGTAGGAAAGGACTGGAGGGGGGACCGGGGTAAGGAGTAGGTGATGGAGGAGCCTGGAGTCTTTGTGGGGGATGGCCTGTGTCTTCTCAGGGATACTCCAGCACGGATGTCCCTGGCATCCTGTGATCTCATTGTGCTCTTTCCGTGTCAGAGCCCTTACTGTCCTGCACTCTAAGTATCTGTGTCTCTACTAGACTGGAGCTTTTTTTTTTCTTTTTATTTTTTTTTAGACTGGAGCTTTTTTAAGGCACAGGACTGTGTTGTCCGCTCCACTGTTGTGTGCCTGGCTCTGGCCGAGTGGTGGGCTCTGAGTAAACAAACAGTCCATTGAAGTTTAGAAGAAAGGAAGGCGGAAGAGGGAAGGAGAGGGGTGGATCCCCAGCATGGGGACTTCTGAGGGTATAGCCTTGCCCTGAGTGCAGGGACACAGGCTGAGGGATGACATGTTAATACAGAGTGGGCCAGGGTTCCCAACCTACCTTGACCTTTGATCCCAAAAGGTGGCACAAACTCCCGAATCCTAGCCCACTTGCGGAAAGAGTCATCCAGGAACATGGGTGCTGGCTTGGAGAACCTGGAATAAAATAGGGCTGTTGAGGATCCCCAAATACAACAAGATGGAGTTCAGATGGGCTCCTCAGTACATCTGTGTGGGCAGTGGATCTGCTGGGAGCACCTTCACAGTCCAGCATGCCCTCCCTACCCTTGGTCTGCGGGAAGCTGTGGCGTCTGACCCATCTTGTCCAGTGGAGCCTGAGTTGAAGGGGCAGGTCTGGCCGGTCCCTCCGCGGCCAACTACAGGGGTGGAGAGGCAAGCTGCCACTCGGCCCGGATGGAGTTGCACACTGCAAGCTCTCTGGCAGGCAACCTAGGCACATACCCACCAGCCACCACTGCCCACACTGTGCCTTCAGTCTGGGAACCTGGAGACAACACGCTGGCCAGGTGAGAAGGAGACCCAAAGAAAGCTGGTGCCTGGGAACAGAGTTTTGGAGAGAATTCTGGGAGGTGGCCACCCAGCATGAGGAGGAAGGAGAATTCACGGCCACAGTGGGAAGGAGAACAGCCACAGGAGCAGATGTTTGGTAGAGAAGAAAAAAACCGGAGCATCCTGTGGCTGGGAGGCTGCCATCTTCTCTCTTTGGCCTTTTTATTATTTTTTTTGGCCTAAAAAAATAATATGAGAGGAGGCCTCACACGGATAGGAGCCTGGCAGAGACAAGGATGAGAGAATGCTACCCTCCTCAGGAGCTGAGGGAGGGGTATGTGTGTAAGAGGAGAGGGTATCTTGCACGGAGATGCTGAGTTGAGAAGGGAAAAGAAAGTTTCACTTTTCTGGGGAAAGCCAGGGTGTGGGCAGGCCGGGGTGCAGGCTTTGGGAAGTAAGAAGGGACAGAGAAGGCAGCGAGGACCGAGGGGAAAGCAACAGGAGGCAAGCTCTTCAGGGATGCTCGGACAACGAGCCTCGCATGGAACCTGGCATCCTGGTTTTGAGGCCTTTTCAGGAACCCTGGAGGCCCTGAAGACGGCCAGCACCTGATCGTCTACTGTGTGTTGATTCTTCTGAGGAGCCTGGTTGGGGCCTTGCTGGCCAAGGAGGAAGATGCGGAGGCCTAGGCCTTGGCTCCGTCTCTGCATTTCTAACTCAACCTGAATCAGCCACTGAAAACCTGAAGATGGGAAGAGAGGCCTCCAAGCCCCGGACCTAGAACTGAGCCCTCTGAATGTACTCCGACTCAAGCAAACCCTTCTCATTTCCATCCCACTAACCATTAAAATCACCCTACCCAGGAGGAATAATATTATTAGATTTTGAAGGGAACTTGAAGGAGGCAGAAAACTTGCAGTCCTGCTCCCTCTCCCATCACTCACGCCTGGGAAGAAGTTGTCAATACCTGATAGCACAGAGGCCACTCCCCGCCGAGCAGACCTCCTTTGGACTTAGGAGTTAGCACGCTTCCCTTCTGTGTACGGGGGTCACGCATGTTTCTCATACCTGGTATAACAAATCTAAGTACATTAATATATTTGATGTTTTCCAGAGGCACTGAGGATGCTGGCCACAGCTTAGGTGTACCAGCAAAGGAAACCGGTCCCTGGACAAGCCCACACCAAGAACCTTTCTTCTTGTGTCAGGACTGAGCTGATGAAAAATGTTTGCAAAGTCTCTCAGCCAGGCCTGGACAGGATTTTATCTGCTTCCCAATATGTACTGGATGTTATATGCTAATAAAATCTCTTAAGATCTGGCCAAACGTTCTCAACATATTTTTTTTTTCCTTTTCTTCTCCTTTCCCTGTGTTTTTCAGTTGATGAGAAAGTTCATTACATTAATTTTTACTTTAAAAAAACTCATTATTGGGGATCCCTGGGTGGCTCAGCAGTTTGGCACTTGCCTTCGGCCCAGGGTGTGATCCTGGAGTCCCAGGATCGAGTTCCACATCAGGCTCCCTGCATGGAGCCTGCTTCTCTTTCTGCCTGTGTCTCTGCCTCTCTCTCTCTCTCTCTCTCTCTCTCTGTGTGTGTGTGTGTGTCTCATGAATAAATAAAATCTTAAAGAAAAAAACTTATTTTTGGTGTAGCTTGTAATAAGTGTTAATTTGGGGGAAAAATACTAAAAAATACTAAGGGGTGCACACACAAACACAAGTAAGTAAAAAATACTCATAATCCTAAAACACAAAGGATTGTGTTTGTGTATATATCTGCACTGAGCTCTGTAGACTCTTCATTCACTTTATAATAATGAGAACATTGCTATGTAAATGGACGCAACTTTCTCCTAACACACAAAGACTGGATCAAACAACAAAAACAGTAAGCTGCTGGTAACTGACCCAAGTTGACTCCCAATGATCGAATGTACAAGAACACACAAGTGAAAATAGGACCAAGAAAAAGCGTAAGTTCCAATATTAGTGTTACAGGTTGAATGCCTGTGATCCCTCAAATTCATATGCTGAAATTTCATCCCCAACATGATAGTGTTTGCTGGTAGGGACCTTTGGGAGGTCACTGGGTCATGACGGTAGTCTTCATGAGTGGGGTCAGTGCTCTTATAAGAAGAGGCCAGAGAGCTAACCAGCTCTCCTTCCACCATAGGAGGATACAAGAAGAAGCCAGTCATCTGAACCTGAAGACACTCTCACCAGGACCCGACCACACTGGTACCATGATCTCAGAGTTCGGCCTCCAGAACTGTGAGAAAATACATTTCTGTTGTTGAGAAGCCCAGCCTATGGTAGTTCGTTATAGCAGCTAGAGCTGATGAAGTCAGTAAGTAAGGAGAAAAAAAAAAGAAAAAAAAAATCGTGGGAGAGAGCCTGGCAAAAAGCATTACAGGAGTCTGATAAGCATTTCTTAAAAACCTTTGCCTTCAGTGTAGAACTCATTTATTTATTTTTATTATCTGGTTTTAAACATTGTCCTTTTCACCTTGTTCTTTTATTGGGTCTTCATGTTTCAGTTGCTTATTTTGTAGACCTTCTTTATTCTTTGACAGACGGAGCCAGCCTCCTCTAACATTTCTTTCTGCTAGTTGGGTGCACCTTTGTGCAAAGGGTATTCTTTTTTCCTCCTGGGGATATCTTTTTAAAACTTTGTATTATGGGAGATTTCAAACATGCACAAAAGTTGAACCTTCATGGATGGACATGTTACCCAGATGCAGAATCAGTGGTCATGGTCAATTTTGTTTCTCTTGTACTCCCTCTATTCTCTTTCTGTATTATTTTGAAAACTCCCAGAGATCCTGCCATTTCATCCATGAAATACTTTAGTATTAGTTTCTAAAAGATAAGGCCAACCTTAAAAACCATAACCACACCTAAACAACTCCTCTTAAAGCCATTATCACACCTAAAACACTACAATTTCTTAATAGCAACAAATAGTTTCAGATTTCTCATTACTGTTTGCTGTTGTTGCTTCTTTTAATAGTTGCTTATTTAGATCAGAATGGAAGCATGATCCACACACTGAATTGGGCTTGTCTCTAGTCTCTTTTAAATCGATAGATTTGGGGATCCCTTGGTGGCTCAGCGGTTTGGCGTCTGCCTTCAGCCCAGGGCGTGATCCTGGAGTCCCGGGATCGAGTCCCACGTTGGGCTCCCTGCGTGGAGCCTGCCTCTCCCTCTGCCTGTGTCTCTGCCTCTCTGTGTCTCTCATGAATACATAAATAAAATCTTAAAAATAAATAAATAAATCGATAGGTTTCCTCCTCATTCTTCTTCTCTCTTTGGCCTTTTCATCTTGGCTCTTGAATCCATTTGATGACACACCCCAATAATATGAGAAAACAGCCTTGCTGCCCAGTATGTAAAGATGTCCCAAGTTCATCCTGTACATTTCTTTTTCTTTCTTTCTTTTTCTTTCTTCTTTCTTTCTTTCTTTCTTTCTTTCTTTCTTTTCTTTCTTTTCTTTCTTTCTTTCTTTCTTTCTTTCCTTCCTTCCTTCCTTCCTTCCTTCTTTTCTTTTCTTCTTTTCTTTTCTTTTCTTTCAGGATTTTATTTGGGACGCCTGGGTGGCTCAAGGGCTGAGTGTCTGCCTTCAGCTCAGGGCGTGATCCCAGGGTCCTGGAATCGAGTCCCGCATTGGGCTCCCTGGATGGAGCCTGTTTCTCTCTCTGCCTGTGTCTCTGCCTCTCTCTCTCTATCATGAATAAATAAATAAAATCTAATTTTTAAAAGTGATTCTTCTTCTTTTTTTTTTTAAGATTTTTATTTATTTGGGCATCTTGGGTGGCTCAGTGGTTTGGTGCCTCCTCAGCCCAGGGTGTGATCCTGGAGACCCAGGATCCAGTCCCATGTCGGGCTCCCTGCATGGAGCCTGCTTCTCCCTCTGCCTGTGTCTCTGCCTCTCTCTGTCTATCATGAATGAATAAATAAAAACCTTAAAAAAAAGAAGAAAAAAAAGAATCACTTAAAAAAAATCACTTTTAAAAAAGTAAAAAGAAGAATCACATTTTATTTATTCATGATAGAGAGAGAGAGAGAGAGAGAGAGAGAGAGAGAGGCAGAGACACAGGCAGAGGGAGAAGCAGGCTCCCTGCAGGGTGCCCAATGTGGGACTCGATCCCAGGACCCCGGGATCACGCCCGGAGTCGAAGACAGACACTCAGCCCTTAAGCCACCCACGCATGCTGTCCTGTACATTTTTTATTTAAAGACCTTATGCATTTATTCACGAAAGACATACACAGAGAGAGAGGCAGAAACACAGGCAGAGGGAGAAGCAGGCTCCATGCAGGGAGCCCGACCTGGGACTCGATCCCAGGACTCCAGGATCATGCCCTGGGCTGAAGGCAGATGCCAAACCGCTGAGCCACCCAGGGATTCCCATGTCCTGTACATTTCTTGCCTCCTACCTGGAATTGGTCATTTTCCAAGGAACCCTGGTTCCTTTTCATTGGAAATGGTATTTAGAGACCACCTTCTCAATGGCTAGGTCACTCAGTTGCTAGGGTTAGTCATTTTTCCCAGAACTTTTCAGGGGGACAAAGCCAGGAAATAATTTTTTAAAGAAAAAGTACATCATGCATTTATACTAGTATTCCAGTCCAAATTCAGGATGACA